GAGCTCTGATAAGAGAGCAACATGGCACGGCTTCTCCAATGTCTTAAGTGGGGTTCTTGGCTGCGCCCCAACTAGCCCGACCCTCGCCTGCGCAGGCCCAAAGAGCTCTGCGGCGCAGCCGCAGGCCGGCGCCAGCTTGCGCCAGCTGACGCAAGCCAACAGATCTTACCGAGAAGTAAAGCAAGAGCTTCACGGCACACAACGCTGAATCTGCTCCAGTTGTCAGGGAGTGAAATTACATTGCTGCGCTGGCAGTTGCTAGTGGGGGGGGAGTGCATCCTGCTTCGACCGGAGACTATCAGAGGGAGACAGGCAAAGACAGAGAAGGCGAGAGAGAGAGAGAGAGAGAGAGAGAGGGGAGAACAAGTTGCTCTTCCAAAGAAGCAATGAAGGCAACGTGGGCGCAGCACTTGTGTCAGGAAGCGCGTGAACACATTAAACCAACAACTGGCTGGACTGCACACTGATGTGTGTGTGAACTACAAAGAACACGGCTGCGACCTTGTCCGACCTAGTGCCAAGCCTGAAAGCTTTCATTCTAAATCACCGCCCATTGGGTGGCGCATTAGGGGGTGTCTAGTGGCCTCAGCACAACCAAGTGTGTGTGTGTGTGTCGAATTTTGTGCTTTTACACACCTGAAGTCCAGCTGTTGGACACCGTTGCCACCCTTTCTCCTATCGCGGCCCTCGCTGTTGCTTTCGTAAAGAAAGGGACTCAAACAGCTTGCGTGCGCCATTTGCATTTGTCTCAGAACCTGCGTCTTTCAAACCTTTTGCGTCTCCATCACCGGCCTTTCGCGGCGCAAGTGTTTCCTTTCGCGGTAGACACTTCAGAAACATCAATGAAATACCGCTTTTAGAAGAGGCCAGGGCATTTCCGGCCGTACTCAAATCCAGCCCCATGAAGGGGACCCTTTTGCACCTTCAATCCTGCGCTTGCGACTTTCGGGTCGGATCTTGAGGAGTGCGTGTGCCAAGAATTCTGAAAACTGGTTTTCCCTGGGGGACCAGCCGTACACGAAGTGGTGCTGTCATCATCTGCCCAAGCAAGAAACATTGACTTTGGACTCTGAACTTGGACTCTGAACTTGAGTGTGAGGAGGAACGGAGAATGCATGAATGGAAGGGAGGATTTGTGAGGAAGGAAGAACGATCACGGCGGCCAAACCAAAATATCGGAGGTCCAGCGCTGGCTGAACTGGCTGCAGTTTCTTTTTTGGGCTTTAGGACAGGAACAGGGTGCCCCCTTGTACGCTGATCAACGGCGCCTCTGGCCAATCTTCTGGAAGTGCTCCGCAGCCATTGCGTCACCCTTCTCTTCGTAGAGATAGCGCCCAAACGCACACCTTGGACTTCCGATCAAGCAAATGAAGCTGGGCACACGCAAAGTGTCTTCTACTTCCAGGTGAATTGACCAAGCACTGTTCTGTCGTTGCTTCACTGTTGCAGCACGCGATGACAGAATCACTCCGTCAAGGGTCAGGCAAAACGCGCATCTCGCAACTCTGATTGAACTAGAATGAGCGGACACGAAATGCGAGGTGTTCTAAACTGCCGCCGTTTGCTCCTGACATTGCTGCAGGCCCCGAAACCTTCCGCGCAGCTTCCGCGAGCCTCTGCTTCAAAATGTTTCGGTTGGCTTAGTTGGGCGGGTTTCCGCGAACCTTCTGTAAAGAATGTAGCGCGTCGTGACCCTGAAGCCATTGCGCAATGTGCCCAGTTGTTTCTGACCCGTTGGCTAAGCGACAAGCCGTTTCATCCTTGCGGGTCCGTTTGTCAATAACGTTGGCTCCGAGGAGAATTTCTGACAAGGCGGCCGTGTGGCCCCGCCTCGTGGCCTGCGAGAACTGCAGCGGCTGCCCTGGCCACGCGGGGCGCGCGGCGGTAAGCTGAAAACAGACCCTCGCGTTGCGCAGGCGGCGTGTTCTAGCCGCGTAACGCAAGAACTACGCCTCTGCGAATGTCAACTTTCATAAATCGTGGGCCACACAAGTTGTCAGTATCAGCTATAACCCACATGTTCGGCCATGTCAAGGATTTTTTGCTTGGGCGAGCGCGCCAGTGCGAATCAGACAATTCTTTAAGTACACCCCTACATGCAAAGGCGCAAGAAATGATTAAAGTTGACATCTGCGAGCTGATGAATACAGCAAAACACGAACAACCCAAAAAGCACGCACGACAACGCAAACTCTGAACAACACACAGCGCAACGCGACAACGACACATTCGCAACCAAACAAGCGCACAAGTAATAGCCGTCCAGCAAATAAACAAACAAAATCAACAAACAGTTAAACACAGAATTACGCTGGCAAAAAGTGGCCCGGAAGCATAGAAAGCCTCTCCCACCTAATGAGAACCAACGCGTAATAACGTCAATTTCCCTGCTCAAGCGCAGCTTCTGCACGTTCTGATGAGCAAGCTTAGCATCATGCTTCACAACCTTGCCTGTCAATTTCTCGCGCGCGCGATGCTATGGCTTGATGCTGCGCGCGAAGCTGTGCGTGGCGCAGCGCATGATGCTCTGCAACCTCTCTTGCCAAATCTTTCACGCCCCCTCTTGAAAACTCTCTTGTTCGTATCTGCGCGCAGCTTGGCCGCGCAAGCAAACTGGACGCTTCAACTGCGGAAGTACGTGTGCATCGCATGCTTACAAGTTGTGATTTTTGTGCTGCAGATCCGGATGTGTAACTCGCGTGCTGCTTTTCCATGTTGCGAGAACCCGCCTTCCAAACAATATTTGCGCGCTTGAATGTTGCGATTTCCGAGTTGGAGCTGCGGGAAAGCATGTAGCCACTTACGATTTTGCCTTCGGAGCTGCGGGAATGCACTTCGCGCACAATTTTGGACTTAAAAGTTGCAGCCTCGCGCCAAGAGCCATGGGAACGCGCTTCGTGTACTCCTTTGACACCTAAAAGTTGCAAGTTTGCAGCGGTTTCGCGGACGACCTTTGTACTCAAAACCTGCCAATTTCCTGCGGCGGCGCGCCGGCCGCTAGACCAAGATAAGTGCCAACTGCGTGTGTTTGCAGCACGTTTTTTGCGTGGGTGAAAGGACATTTGGCTGGCCTTCAAAGCATTATACACGGCAGCGCGCGAAGAACATGTTTTGAGCACCTACGTTTCGCCGGAATAAATAAGCAAGGCCGCTGCGGGTCATTCTGCGTATAGCCCTTTAGCGGGGCGTCGGCCGCTAGAGAAAGATAAGTGCCAACTGCGTGTGCTTGCGCAAAACAAATCAAGTTTGGTGACCTCAACACTTTGGCAGCTCCAGCTCAAAAACCGCATCTTTTCAGCAGTAGTGTGCAAACAAGGCCACCCCCTGGACCCCACGCCTTTGGCGGATCTTTTGCAAACCTTTTGCAGGTGCGCCCGCCGCCTGCATTTTCGGAAAAAAAAACTGGCAAACGTACACTCTCGCACGGTCAACGCGTAGCCCTTTCGAGGAGCTTTCGTGGACCGAGTTTTCGGAAAGTTCTTCTGGCGGTGTCAGGGTCCTGTCGCAAAACCCTGGTCACATGGCCGCCACGCCTACACCTCCGGGCAAAAACTCCAGCAGGGCGAACCAGCGGCCAAGCCATCGGGGCTGGAAGCCCAAGCCCTGCGCGCAACCAGTTCCGACAAACACGCAATGCAAATGATGAGCGAAAAGCCATACCCGTGGCAATGGGCAACTGCAACGGCTCCGATGTTTAAACTCGTCTGTGTTTCCACCAAACGCATTCGGCAAACGCATGACTTCGGTAAACAAGCTGGCGCTAAACATTTCCCGACCTTGAGACTAAACAAATCAGCGCGAAACAGCAACATCCCACACCAACCGTAGACCCACCTGAAGCCAACACGAAACAAGCGCTAAAAGCATTCCTAGGCGCTAAACAAACCCTAAGCCCCTTGAACCAGCACGAAACCAACCTCATACCAACAGATTAGTGGATGATTTGTTGTCTTTGCTTCCCCGGCCCTGCCCGGGCTGAGGGCCGGCGGGCGGGTAAAAGGCTGTTTAGGGTTGATGGTTAAGGGATTGCTGCGATTTGCGCGCGGTGGGTTTACAGGGTTGTGTGGGTTTAAGGGTGGGCTTAAGGTTGGTCTAGAGGCAGTTTAAGGCTGGGGTGGGGTTGACTTAGCTGAACAACGGCTTTGGGGTGGATCAGTCTCTAGGACCAACCGACACAACCCTGCACGACTCAGCTAGAAGTCATAGACAGGACACACCTCTGCCGTCTGAAGTTGGCTGCTTCCAGAAGCGGCTTGTTTTGCGCCGGGCACCTCGTGGTGTAGCAGATGGACGCAGCGCTTTCCACCCTTGCCATTACAAGCAATAGAGCAATTGAAACACAAACCCGCACACCGCCCGCCAGACAGTCCTTCTTTGCAGCTAGCTGGTAGAGAAGGTCCTGGGCAGGGCTGCGCGGCAACTCTGCAAAAACCAGCAACAGGACACATGATATATGTCAAATCGCCAGGCGCTGGCTATCCTACAGATCTTGCTGGGCGCCTGCTTTCTTACACACTCCCAATTCGCCTAAGAAGGGATAGCGTGCTATGCCTACAAAGGCATAGCGTGCTATGAGCCATGGTGACATACAACAGTCATTCGCCGCCCGTGACAACCTGACAAAGAAGCAGAAAGGAATGAGCGAAAAAAAAAAAAGAGCTGCCAAACCTCCGTTTTGCACTCACCGTGGAAAACCGCAAAGGCCGCGGGCAGAACTCGCGAGGTGGAGTCTGATTTGCATATCGGAACAAACCCGTGGCAAAAACGCCGTGTCTCGCAACATCTTGCTGGAGCTGCTGGCCGCCGTGGAAAAAGTGCAAGCAATCAAATGGCATGTCTGCATCGATCATTCGATGTCACTATGCATTGGTAGACCGTTACGCTTGGTAAATCATAGCGGTATGCGAGTAGTTTGCCCAGAGAGACATCGCTACAAGTTCCCCCGGATCGCTGCGTCGAGCCAAGACTCGCAGGTCTTGGGCCGCGTTCTCCGCCAAGGCCTCGTGACGCAAGCGCCCGCCAGTCAGGCACGCGCGTTGCGCACGAGAGGGCTATGCCAGGAGACCTCAACCGATCCCTGCGGTCAAAAAAGTAGATGTAGAAAAACCCATCAGACTCACACCCATGGGCAAAGGAATTGAGTTGAAAAACGCCTGCCATATGGAATCCTGGATTGCAAAAATGCGCAGGCTCGTGAAAATCGCAAGAAAATAGAGCAGGTGGTTTTGGAAGCACATTTGCTACAGCAAAAGACGCGTTCTCGGGTTGCTCTCGGCGTGGGCTCCAAGCAAACCACGGTGGCCCACAACATGGTTAGCGCTCTGAGCGGTGGATTTTTCCGCCCGCAAGACGCAGCACCGCGCTAGCTTCAAAGCAATGAGCCCCGAGAAGGGGGAGGCTTTCTGGCTGGAACTCTCATTTCTGAGCGTTTTGACTGAAATTCGAACACTCCCTTCTGCGTACTTTGCGCCCGTTCTGCGGGCTGGGGTTCATGAACCAAACTTGCACCTTTTCTTGGTGTCAAGTTGCTGGCTTCAAAGCGGTGAGGCGCGCTCTCCCAAAAACTAAAATTTTGCATTTGGGGGGTTGGTTTTTTTGATTTGGGGTTGAAAAACTGTGACTGATATAGGAAAAGTGGTATGTTTTGCGCTAGTGAGACTAGCTGACAAATCATGAGAATATCATGTAAACCCTCTAGTAGTGTCCCATTTCCTGGACATTTTGCAAACATTATTGCGATTGTATGTTGCATTATTGGCCTTGCGTTGCTAAAGATGGGCTGACACTTGTCGAAATTTGAGGAAACGCTTACTTAGCAAAAATCTCACGCTCACAGATTTCTGGAGATGCTCCAAAACCTCCCCTTTGGATGATTCATGTTTTTGTCGTGTTGTTTGAATTCACTTTGTGCACTGGATCTTGCCTGGCCCAGGCCCTTGCACCCTCTCACTCAGTCCGGCTCGGTGGTACCAGGTCTGAGTACCAGGTTCTGATTTGCGGAGCATTAACATTGGTCCCCCAGAAATTGCCCCTAAATTGAACAAATGTTGGGGAACTTTCTAGTGAGGAGAATGCATGGAGTGGCCTGATGAAACATGTTGACGGATGCCCAAGCACCGAAGGAAGAGGCCGGGGGGGGGGGGCAGGGCGGTCGAAAAAAAACGCAAACTGCGGCATTCAAGTGCTGGCCACAGTCGCTACATGCGCTACTTCTTGTGCCACAGCAGCTGCGCGGCAGGGGCCAACCATCAGCGCTGAATGAAGCGCGGGTTGCGCCGAATGAGGCGCGCCTGAAGGTACTAGCCTGGACTACCTCTCATCATGGCCGAGTCGTGCTGCTTAAACGCGCTACTTGTTTAGATCCACGGTGAGAACAGCCACGCTTGCCTAGATGTTTCCCAGAAACACGTGGACGGTGCGTTGATGATGGCAATTAAAGGACCGGATAACCCCACATGCTATGTTTTTCCCAAATGTCCACACACATGTACCGTGCGCCCCTTGTATGGATGCGATTACAGAGCACCCAGATGCACAGAATGCAGCGCCTGCCACGACTTCGGCAACGGCATCGCCAAAGTGCTGCGCCTGCCACGATTTCGCAACGGCATCGCCAAAGTGCTGCGCCTGCCACGATTTCGCACACCCCCCGCCGCGCGCGCGACAACATCCTGTCCCTCTAGACAGCTGCCGAATGCGACCCCTGCCACACAAACACACACCCAGATGCACAGAATGCTGCGCCTGCCACGACTTCGGCAACGGCATCGCCAAAGTGCTGCGCCTGCCACGATTTCGCAACGGCATCGCCAAAGTGCTGCGCCTGCCACGATTTCGCACGCCCCCCGCCGCGCGCGCGACAACATCCTGTCCCTCTAGACAGCTGCCGAATGCGACCCCTGCCACACAAACACACACCCAGATGCACAGAATGCTGCGCCTGCCACGACTTCGGCAACGGCATCGCCAAAGTGCTGCGCCTGCCACGATTTCGCAACGGCATCGCCAAAGTGCTGCGCCTGCCACGATTTCGCACACCCCCCGCCGCGCGCGCGACAACATCCTGTCCCTCTAGACAGCTGCCGAATGCGACCCCTGCCACACAAACACACACCCAGATGCACAGAATGCTGCGCCTGCCACGACTTCGGCAACGGCATCGCCAAAGTGCTGCGCCTGCCACGATTTCGCAACGGCATCGCCAAAGTGCTGCGCCTGCCACGATTTCGCACGCCCCCCGCCGCGCGCGCGACAACATCCTGTCCCTCTAGACAGCTGCCGAATGCGACCCCTGCCACACAAACACACACCCAGATGCACAGAATGCTGCGCCTGCCACGACTTCGGCAACGGCATCGCCAAAGTGCTGCGCCTGCCACGATTTCGCAACGGCATCGCCAAAGTGCTGCGCCTGCCACGATTTCGCACACCCCCCGCCGCGCGCGCGACAACATCCTGTCCCTCTAGACAGCTGCCGAATGCGACCCCTGCCACACAAACACACACCCAGATGCACAGAATGCTGCGCCTGCCACGACTTCGGCAACGGCATCGCCAAAGTGCTGCGCCTGCCACGATTTCGCAACGGCATCGCCAAAGTGCTGCGCCTGCCACGATTTCGCACGCCCCCCGCCGCGCGCGCGACAACATCCTGTCCCTCTAGACAGCTGCCGAATGCGACCCCTGCCACACAAACACACACCCAGATGCACAGAATGCTGCGCCTGCCACGACTTCGGCAACGGCATCGCCAAAGTGCTGCGCCTGCCACGATTTCGCAACGGCATCGCCAAAGTGCTGCGCCTGCCACGATTTCGCACGCCCCCCGCCGCGCGCGCGACAACATCCTGTCCCTCTAGACAGCTGCCGAATGCGACCCCTGCCACACAAACACACACCCAGATGCACAGAATGCTGCGCCTGCCACGACTTCGGCAACGGCATCGCCAAAGTGCTGCGCCTGCCACGATTTCGCAACGGCATCGCCAAAGTGCTGCGCCTGCCACGATTTCGCACGCCCCCCGCCGCGCGCGCGACAACATCCTGTCCCTCTAGACAGCTGCCGAATGCGACCCCTGCCACACAAACACACACCCAGATGCACAGAATGCTGCGCCTGCCACGACTTCGGCAACGGCATCGCCAAAGTGCTGCGCCTGCCACGATTTCGCAACGGCATCGCCAAAGTGCTGCGCCTGCCACGATTTCGCACGCCCCCCGCCGCGCGCGCGACAACATCCTGTCCCTCTAGACAGCTGCCGAATGCGACCCCTGCCACACAAACACACACCCAGATGCACAGAATGCTGCGCCTGCCACGACTTCGGCAACGGCATCGCCAAAGTGCTGCGCCTGCCACGATTTCGCAACGGCATCGCCAAAGTGCTGCGCCTGCCACGATTTCGCACGCCCCCCGCCGCGCGCGCGACAACATCCTGTCCCTCTAGACAGCTGCCGTGAGTCAGCGAGTGTGAGTGAGTGAGTGAGCGAGTGAGTGAGTGAGTGAGTGAATGAGAGTGAGTGAATGAGAGTGAGTGTGAGTGAGTGAGTGTGAGTGAGCGTGAGTGAGTGAGTGAGTGAGTGAGTGAGTGAGTGAGTGAGTGAGTGTGAGTGAGTGTGAGTGACTGAGTGTGAGTGAGTGAGTGTGAGTGAGTGTGAGTGAGTGTGAGTGACTGAGTGTGAGTGAGTGAGTGTGAGTGAGTGAGTGTGAGTTGAGTGAGTGTAAGTGAGTGAGTGAGAGTGAGTGAGTGAGTGAGTGAGTGAGTGAGTGAGTGAGTGAGTGAGTGAGTGAGTGAGTGAGTGAGTGAGTGAGTGAGTGAGTGAGTGAGTGAGACGGAGACGAGCGGGAGGAGGAGGAGGAGGAGACGCGGCGCGCGGACGACGAGCGGAAAAAGTAAGAACCCCACACAAAGATGTGGGGAACAAACATGAGTCAGCGTACAAAATTACTTGACTGCGGTGTGTCATTCAATTCCGCCGTTACAAAGTCCTGTGCAGTTTTTCCGGGTTTGGTTCTCAAGTTTGGTGTGAGTCTTGGATGTTGTTTTTTGAAGCTGACTTGCACGCTGACCCTGACGGACCTGCTCACGGCACGGGGGGCCCAGGTGCGCTTGGCAAACTACATCTTGAAGCTACATGCTCCTTGCATCAGCGCTGAATGAAGCCCTGTTGCGCCGAAAGAGGCGCGCCGCTAGCAGGTCTGCCTACATGCAGGGGGGGGCCAGACTGTTAGCATTGAAAGCTTCCCCATGATACTGCTTGATAGTCGCTCGGGGTTGGGGGGAGGGGGGGAAGAAGCGCTGGGGCGCCGCTTGCAGGTTCTTGACAACTTGGCAGGGGGGCAGAGACATCAGCGCTGAATGAAGCGCTGAAGCGCCGAAAGAGGCGTACTTGGCAGGTTCGGTTCTACATCCATCAGGTTAGCCATACATCTTGGAGTACTTGATCACAGCAGGGGGGCCTAGACATCAGCGCTGCTGCGCCGAAGGAGGCTACATGAACTCGGCGCTGCTTGACAACATTTCAGGGAGGCTAGACATCAGCGCTGAAGGAAGTGCTGAAGCGCCGAAAGAGGCGTACTTGGTGATAGGTTCTACATCCATTGGTTCGCCGAAAGACGCTTGCAGGTTGCCTACATCTTGGAGTACGTAATCACGCTCGGGGCGGGGAGCCTAGACATCAGCTCTGACTGAAGCGCTGTTGCACCGAAGGAGGTGTGCCGCTAGAAGGCTACCCTGCATGATACTACTTGATAGTCACTGGGGGGTTGGGGGGGGTGCTGGAAGAAGCGCTCTTGCGCCGAAAGAGGCGCGCCAGTTTGCCTACATGTTCAACATGTCAGTGTCAGGGGGTCAAGACATCAGTGCTGAAGGAAGTTCTACATCCATTCTTCTGCAGGTTTGGCGACATCTTGGAGTACTTGATCACGGCAGGGGGCCATTAGCAGACGCAAAGCTGGCACTAAGAAGCGCTGAAGGAAGTGCTGAAGCGCCGAAAAAGG